AAACATGTTTGAAAACACAAGGGAGTTAAACCACTCTTTCATTTAGTCAATTTGGTTTGTAAATTAGTTAAAAACCATGAGTGGGAACGATGTTCGAAATTGGCCATTGGATTGTGTCAAAAAACACCAACTAGTGTATGTACTCAATAAGATTCCGTTAGTTTTTCTTGACAGTAGAATATGAGTGTTAAAGCTTCTTTTACAATTTTGGTATTTTCTGACTTTATGCGTGGAATGTAATTTGATATGCTATTGAGTTTATTTTTTTTCCACGTTGATATACAATGTGCAACTAATTTAATTTATTCTCCCCTCATTGTTTGGCTTTTTAACACTGTTGAATGTTCTGTATGTTAATCCCTCAGTATATCAGCCCTGGTATCTTTGGGTTGGAAGGTTGGATCCTAAGCCCTTTTTTTTTGTTGGTTGGATGTTCAGTCTCAAGTGACTATAATCTGTTTTAATCAATGTATCCTCGTCTTCCAATCCTCGTAAATTTCCATTCTTGCAGGGTATTCTTGAGTGAGGGAAAACTGGTTGGTTTATTAAGTTTATACAGAGTGGCTCTCTTGGCAAAGGTAGAGGTCACACCTGAATGCTGCCTTTCGGTGACGAAGCTAGTCTGCTGGTGGTTGCTCATTTAGGTATGATTGGTTTCCCAAATGACATGTAGAAAGTGAAACAAATGCCAGGATATGGAAAAATGACTAGTTTTCAAAGTCATGAGACAATCTTATGGATCCCTATCACTAACCTGTTTATTCATTCCTCTCCTCCATCACATTATAACCACCTAAAGATGCATCTTTTCTCATTCCATGAATAGGATGCTCAGCGTAGCTTGTGTGTTAGTGTTTGGGCTTGTGTTTAATAAACTTCATACTGCATGTATGTGAGCCGGTGGTCTAGTTATATGTTGCAACATGTTAGACCCCTTCGGTCTCAAGGAGGTATCGTCTAGGGGAGTTAGGGGTGCAGTTGGGACAGATTGGGTGGTTTAATCCCAGTTTTAAGACTCCCAATCCTAATTCAACATGAATCCAAATTCAACCTGAATGCTTTATTTCAATGTTCTCTGTTTACACAGGGTGAAGGTAGGCTGCACCTGTGTGCTGCTGTTTAGTGAGGAAGCTAATCTCTTAGTTCGTGCTCCTTGTCAACCTCAATCCAGCTAGCAGTGCTTTACTCTGCCTCATTATTCAAGACCTTGAATCCAAATATCAAGGCATATGCTGTCTCCAGCTGGTCTGGGGAGGTCAGGATTAATCCTACTCCTCCCCCCCTTAATATTCGGGGAGCCATCAGTATAAAGGATCTAATTTGGATGATTTACTCGTGTTTATACTCTCATGTTCCAAAAATCTGAGCAGCTACAATCGAACATAACATCTTTCCCAAAAATTATGCTTCCGAATGACAACCCCTCTTGTCAAATTGTAGCATATTCATTCTTGGTCATTGCATTTCTCTCATGTCCGCACCCTTTCCCACAGAAATGGTGGTAATGGGTTATAACACCTATGTCCTTCCTATTCGGTGTAGACAGTTATCCACCAAGTGGGTTGGTGGCTTGAGATTAATGGGTGATTTTTAAGGTAGTTAATTACATTATAGAGTGACGAGTTACGTCAGTTATTAGCATAATTAATTTATATAATGTCGTGTTTAAAGACTATTCTATGAATAGAAAGGAATAAGAGACAGTTGCTCGAGCTATCTGTTTCTGCTAAGGAGTGTTAATCATGCACATCGGTGGTAGCTTATGAAGTTTTTCTGTTCTTCCACCACAACAAAAGACTTTGTCAGAAGTGGGATTTGAACCCACGCCCTCTTTCGAGGACCAGAACTTGAGTCTGGCGCCTTAGACCACTCGGCCATCCTGACCTTGTTCTCCTTGGGTTAGCAATATAAATTTCTTATTAATCAAAATCAAAATGGACAAAGCATAACCTACATAGGATGCCTATGAATTTTACATTCATTTCACATTTCTTTGTGCTTTCGCATTCAACCTTTTCTGTCATGATGGGACAACGACAAATGAATGTGCTAAACATGATCCCTCTCTGCTGTACAAGAGGGTTCTTTTTATCTTGGCCTTAAATTAATTATTGTGCAAATTATATTTCTTTCATTTACCCTTTAGAACAACAAAAATCCGTAGCATTTGTTTCAATTTGTTCGCTTTAAGAGGTGGTCCCACTGTCACTGAATCATACAATGTTTGATAAACCTAACCACGAAGGAACAAGTGTGGCACAATAAATATTAAAATCGTGATTGTGACCCCAACTATAAATCGATCACCAAAAAAAAAACTTAGACCAACAAGAACATTACATGATTCTAGCTCCGATACCACGTGCAGGAAATTAAAGTAGAAGTCTTTAATTTTCCAAAAACAGGATCAAGAAAATAATATAAGAGATAGAAGAAAGAAAGAAAAATTTATTGACTGTAACACATAAATAACACAATGCAAGTACGATACTAATTTATAAGAAAACAGTTTGATCAATGGTATATCCAGATGAAGGCCTTGTTCGGTTTTCAGGAGCTATCCGAGATTGTTGATATTGGATATGCAGAACCAGTGGGTCAAGCTGCAGCTGAAGCACTTACTCAAAGTCTGGAAGGACAGTTTAAGGGACAGTAGAAGGAAAGACAAGAAGGCGTTACTCGTTCTCTACCAAGTTGTAGATGAGATTGTCTTTGAAAAGATTTCAAGTGCAACTACGATTAAGGAGGCATGGGATATGTTGCAAAAATCCTACAAAGGCGATGAGAAGGTGAAGAGTGTAAGGTTGAAAACCTTGCGAGGTGAATTCGGATCTCTTAAAATGAAAGATTCTGAATCTATATCTGACTATTTTTCCCGAGTTCAATCCGTTGTCAATTAATTACGGGTTAACAGTGAAAAAAAGAAAAATATGTGTTATTGAAAAAATCATGAGATCCTTGACGGATCGGTTTGATTATGTTGTTGCTGCAATTGAAGAAGGAAGGGATCTTTCAACCATGACGATTGAGGGTTTGATGGGCTCGTTATGTGCTCATGAATACAAGATGAATCAGGGTCAGCCGAGCCTGTAGAGCAAGGTGACTCTTTCCAACACAAGTAACTCCAGCGGTGGTAAAAGATCAGCACAAGGGGAAAGCTGGTAAGAGTATGAGCCCCAAAAAAAGTACCTCCTCTCAGCAAAGTAGCTCAGATACCACGTGCAGGAAATTATAGTTGAAGTTTTTAATTTCCCAAAAATAGGGTCACGAGAACAGTAGAAGCAATAGAAGAAAGAAAAAAAAAATTATTGACCGTAGAAAATAAATAATACAGTGCAAGTACAGCACTAATTTATAGGAAAACACAAAAACTCAAAACAGACTTGTAAAATGACTCAACTTACTCCTAAAAAATTGCTCATCTGGTCCTATCCTATTCTTAAGACACAACTGCTATCCTGTAAAACAACTTGAAAACAAACTCTTAAAGGTCTGCAATAAATAATTCAGACTTATTCAAAATAACGAGACTCAACATTAAATAAAATAAACACTCTAAATTTGAATTTAGATCAAATACCAACAATTACCCTACCCTACCCTAGCTTAGCTGTTGTTCCACACCCAAACGATTGAACTACGTATATTTAAAGACGGTACGGAGATGCTTGCCATAAGTAGAACTAAACACACCATTTATGGACTACATCCATCCACTGCTTTGGAAGTGTTCATTGAACCACCTGCTGCTGATCAGAAGCATTCTTTCCTCTTATACATTTTCTCTTCAATTCTTTTTTTTTTTTTTAACAAATATTCTTCCCTTCTTAACAAATAAATCACTTATGATGTAGAACAAGACCGGCTGTTTTTATATTTTAAATTTATTTTATTATTTCTTAAAATTTAATTAAAAATAATCCAAAATAATTAACTGAGACATGTTTTATTTATTTTTAATAATGTTTCTAAAATTATAGATTTATTTTTCGGTTTCGAAAATCCTTAGGATTTCTAATTTTCCCTGAAATTGCCTTATGTATTGAATGATTACAAGGGTTTTCTTATAGACCGTTTTTAAAGGAACTCCAAAGAGAGTTGTCATTTTGAGGTGTCAAATTACTCATTTATAACTTGAACAGTGTTTTTACACTTTTGAATTATAAATCTACTCTAATGGTATGTGCCAAAATAGAATGTCATTTTCATATTTTTATTCATCAATCGATATGAATCGTTAGATCAATATTCATTTAATAGATCTATATTCATCAATTCATTTACAACCTCTCCCTTTCTCTCTCTCCAGAATTATCAAAAATACCACCACAAGAGTTTTGATGCTATTTTCCAACCCCATATGCCCCCCCCCCCCCCCCCTTCGAGCCCAAAATTTTGAATTTAAGGTGGCATATGGGGTTGCCACCCCCTTGGAGTTGCCCTTATGTATTGAATGATTACAAGTTCTAATCATTCAATCCAATAATATATATTTTCAAAGAGATTTTCTTATTTGTCCTGTAAATTTAAAATTATTTGTATTATTTACACTTGAAAACGGTGATTTCGGCGTCCCCTACTTACTGCTTCCGTCAAGGAAATTCCCATTCATTACTTGAATTAACAATTTAAAACAGAGGAAGAGTAGGTATAAATCTCCAAATGTCACAAAATAACATGCTCAAGTCGACCTTAAATCCAGAATAAATTTCCTAGTACTAAAGCATGAATAAAAACAATAAAAAATATGTGACTGGTATATCACAGCATCATTTGGGATGGACATTGCTAGATAAGGCTAGTATTTGTAAAATAGCACACACCTTCATCTGTATTGTTGGAGATGCAAAACTAATGAATGAATATGTAGAATGAAATACCTACTACTAAGATCCATAGACAGATTCATTAAGCAGGCATTAAAGGGCTTCTTGGCACATCGATAGTGATTGATCGAATTCCTACTCCGGTGCTGAGAAGCTTTTGAGTTTTCCTTATCATCAAACTGATTGGTTTGACTTGTGCTGCGTCGTCGTGCTGCCATTCTGTTGCTGTGGCTGAGACTGCTGTTGCTGTTGCTGTTGCTGCTGCTGCTGCTGCTGCTGCTGCAACTGGTGTATGTTTAGTTGGGAAGCCTGATGCTGGTGCAACTGGAACATCTGGGGATTAATTGAAAGCTGCTGAAACTTGGCAGATTCTGCACTCAGCTCTGAAGTCACGAGCTTCAAACGTTGAACCTCCGCAGTTAGGGCCTCGTTCAGAGCTGTCACAACCAAAATCAAGAATGCATGAATGTTTCACAGCACAATTACAACAACAGTTTAAGCATGCAATTAAGGTTTGTGGCATAAGAAATTTGTACATACCAATTAGATATAAGGAGCAGCAAACAACAGCATAGTGCAAAATATATATAGATTTGAAAAGAGATGCAATAGTAACCCAACACATTTCCATAGAAACAGCAAGACCAACACATCATTGCACTCGCGACACTGTGATACAAATAAGGTACCACTTACATTTGGTCATTCACAGCACATGCCACTCTACATGCATAGCAAAATAAACAATTGGCTCCAAAGTGTAAGGAAATGTTGTTTTCGTCATTCGGCCCTGTGGTGCACGAGAAATAAGTCTTTCCATGACTTGCTTGATGAGAAATCATCATAGCCTGTATTTGTAACTAGTTATTAAAGGTTGGGGTCAATGGCAGGTGCAACTTATTTCGCTGATGAAAAAAGCGAAATGTCTACCCATTGGAAACTCTGCCAACAGTCCCTCCCCTCCTCCAAGAAGAAGTCAGAAAAAAACATTTCCAGGCTACAATTCCCCACTTACTGACACGATTTTAGTTTAATAATTGAGCATACAAAACATCACAAACTTACAATCAACTTGTAGAAGAAGGCGAAGCTACATGACTAATTGAAATAACAGCTGCACTTCCCAAAGTTATTCTTTCAACCAAGCAGAAAACTAAAAACCAATATGGTCATGGAAAGACCGAGAAGAACATGCCCCCGTGCACGCAAGGAGGGGCAGGGAGCATAAAGTAGACCACATAATTAGTCATTTAGGCATTGATTCAACAATTACTATACTAATGAAACCATCACGTACAATTGTATCATGGAGGGCAAAATGGTCAGCAGTTTTTCTTTGAATTAGGAAAATTAAACTACTTGAAAGGCGCATATAGGCAACTATTATCTTCCCCGGTTCTGTTGGATATTGCTATAAAAAACATGAGATGCTTCTATTGATAGGATTTGATAACCTGCTTCTTTTGATTATATTTTCTTGTTCACTTAAGTCAACTTTTGGCTTTTCTCTTGGCTCTTTGACTAACCAGATTTTTATTCAACAAGTCTTATCCCCACTCCCGCATTTTGAGCAGCATAAAAATGAACAATTAGTTATCTCAGTTTAGATCGTAAAGCATGGGTACATGAGTAAAATTAGGTGGTCAGCTTGCATAGCATGTATCTTAACTAAGACTGATATGCCATTCTTGTTGAGGTGGTTGACCTCAAAATGCACTCTAAACAGCCAAGTTGTAGCCTAGTGGGACCACATATAAGCAGCAAACAGATGAACCAGACAATTTAACATGATAACAATTAACTACAATCTTTGCTTTTCAATTCAGAGTATAAATGGATATCACAAATCTTCAGCTATGCTCTATAAATTACATATCGTACAGCAGCAGAATGCTAACAAGCAAATAACATCGCCTGCATTCAGCAGAAAAAAGTAAGCAAATGGATACAATAAAAGCAAATAAAATCATACCATCACGGAGTTGTGCCTGTTGTTCCATGGCTTGTAGGCGAAACTTCAGCTCATTGTTATGACTGGTGAGCCCAGCAGAGTCCCTCTGGATGCAAGTAAGAAAAAGAATCAGGAAGACCTGGAAAAAAAAAACAAATAATAGAACCAAAAATAAATTCTTAGTTCAAAATTCCAACCTGCAATAATGTAAGCTGAGCAGACAATGTAGTTGCTTCAGTCTGTAGAGTTTGGACCTTCTGCTCCAACTCTGCAATATACCGCATCTTTCGTTCTTTGGAACGAGCAGCGGATTGACGATTGGCCAAAATCCTAAAAGAGAAAATCAATTGATTAAGCAGTATAAAACAGCCAGCAACAGCACAACAGAAAAGTAGGAGGACGCATTACCTTTTGGCCCGCTTGGGATCAGTTAAGGCTATCTCAGCAAGTTTCTCATTTGCCATAATTTTCTTGAGTTCAGCCCCACTAAATTCACCATTCCCAAACTCCAAGTTAAAAGTGTTTGAATTTGCATCAATTGAATTGCTTGGCGAGAGCTGTCCAGGGTGTGGTCCTGGTGAAGGAGGAAGTTTTGGCGACTCATCACCAAAGTTCATACTCCCCATAAAACTATCCATAGAAACACTTCGATAGTGTCTTGTGGTCGGGGCAATGTCTTCCCCAGCATTCCTTTTGATCCCTTCCCTCTTCTCAATTGAAGAAGAAATTACTGGTCTCTGCATACTGTTGCCACTTTCATTTACACTGCTTGTTGCCTCATTATCACTGCTATCACCTCCATTTGTCTTTGTGACACTGGCTCTACTATCCAAATCATCACGATTCTCATTACCTTGCTTCTCATCAGTCCCAGAACAGTTCAATGCATCAATGTTATTCAAATTCATATACGCAGAAAACAGATCATCTACAACTTCCCCTTCAGATTTCCTCTCGCCCATCCCTTCTGCATTGCACTCACCACCTCTATCCCAGATCAATTCCTGTTTAACCAACTGCACCGGCTCAGCACCCGAATTATCTCTAGCAGATGTTGAACGCTCCAGACCACCCGGACCTCTTATAGGGATAAGTGGCGGCGAAGATTGCATGATAGTAGAAAAACCAAAGGGGATATCACTATTAGACCTCCGATGTGCTTTGCGAGGAGGAAGACTCTCCCCTACTCTTGAAGAATTACCCCTAGTGAAAGGTGATGGCGGTAAAACTGAGTGTGAACTCGCATCCCGATCCTCCATTGACGCATCAGCTAATATGGGGTCTGAAATGGAAGCTGATGGGGAATCCCTATAGGGAGACGGGCTTAACGGAGGCAATGAATCAAGCGAGAAAAATGATGGTTGCGATAAAGATCGGGAATGGGACGGCCCTGGACTACTAAAATTCTGCAAACCCATTTGCTGATTCACTGGCCTGTTTACTGGGATCTGCGAATAAGGCGAAATAGGTGGGATTTGCGGATGAGACGGCGGTATACCGACTCTCTTACCACTATCACCATTGAAACTCGGTGAAAATTGTCGCATTTGAGCCCGAAGTTGTGAAGTATTCAATTGAGGTATGTCTAGTTGGTTCATTGAAATGGTTTGTTTCGGGAACGAAGACGATGAAGTTCCAAACGACGATTGTAATCTTTGTATCATATCACTATTAGCTTCCCTACTGTCACCCATTTTTCTTCAGACCCACCACTTCGTAAATATCTATATAAACTTCCACAAAATCCTTAAACACGTTTTATTCCAAAGTTCAGACACAACTGAATAACAGAGCTTTCAGACTCAGTACAAGATCATATCTACACAAGAACCCCAATAAAAAAAGTACATATCAAAAACATCAACCAAACACTGAATCAAAACCCCATAAACCTGCAAATGAGGACACAAACAAGTATGAAAATCAAAAAAATTAACCGATTTTTCAAACACCAAGTTCAGTATGGAAAACTCGAATAAGACAAACTTTTACCAGTACCTGAAAGCGAATCTACCCATTTCGGTGCCAAGCGGTGCAAGTGAGCGAGAGATTCTCCGCCACATTTGGACTGGACTGTACCAAAAAGCTGGGGACGGAAACACCGAAGCTAAAGAGAAGCTCTGTATGTGTGTTTTTTTCTAGCTCTGTTTTGTATTCTTTCCTTTGTTCCTCTCTCTCTCTCTACAACTTTCACTTTCTCTCTCTATGTCGACGAAGACGATGACTACTACTACAATGACACGGATTTCATGACAAGCTCCTACGCGTGAATTTAATATGAATTTGCATTTGTGTGGAATTTGCATTTGGCTCGAATTTCAATTTCATTCCGATCGCATTTGACTATTCTTTCTTTCTTCCACCATTCCCGCAAGTTATGTAGCATTAAATTTCTCACCAAAAGTATACTTCCATGTAAAAAACGATTTTTTTCCATATAAAGCATATTATGAACTCTACACTCCTTTAAAGTGCAAGTCGAAAAACTATGAATTATATCGTAAATACATAGTTACTAAGGTTTTTTTTGTATAAAAATCATAATATAAATTATTAGATATAAATAATATGGATAATTATTATGCTTTATGAAAACAAAAGTGTTTATTTTATTGTATAATTTCTTGACTATGTGTTTTATTATATAAATTCTCGACTATAATACATAACCAAAATTATTACATTTTCACCTAGCATAATTTATAATTTAAGGAAGATACATCAACTCATTTTGTGTATATTATATATTTTACGTGTTTTTAGAGAAAATAAAACTAATTATAAATACAAATAAAACCAGTTAGAGAATCTAATCTCATATTATATAACTCACTAGTAATATGCATACAATAATAGACGAAATCAGCAAATTCAATACAAATAGTTTAATATGAATACTATTACGGTCCTCTTCATAAACCTTTTTTTTTTTATGGATTTTTTTTAGTGAAGACTTTTTATGCTGTTTTCATGAGTTTGTATAATGATTTGGGGTGAAAAATTATAGAGAATAAAAAATAATTACAATAGATAAAACCGTAGTTAATGCAAACAATATTTGGGTAAAACTATAATTACAAAAAAAGAGTTTAGGAATACTCAATGATATTGGTGTCTGCAGTCATGCTTAGGTTGCATTTCCTTCCCATGCCTACTCTATCCCTCCTAATTTAACTCGATTTCCTAGTTAATCAATCTGTATCTGATTCATACCTAGGCCATACCAGGTAAAAGTATCGGATACTTGGGCAATTATGGCAATATCTTAAAGAGAAGGGAAATGGAGGATTCAAACACAATACTCAGGAACAAGAAAGAAAATAATAATTAAGTATTTGTTTATCTTCTTTCTCACTAGGACTCCTGATTAGCATCCGATAGATGAATTCAATTTGAAGAGAATTTGTTGCAATTCTTATTCTTGGATGTGGTAAAGTGTGCAATTGAGGCTTTGAGGGCTCTCACCTCTATCTCTATTTTTTTAGTTTAACGGTTAAGGGTGTTTGATTCAACTTACGCGCATTTCGATTATTTTTTTTTTTGTCTTGTTAAAAGTATGTCATACATCTCAGAATTATAATATTTATGAGGGATAAAACCCTTCTATCTTTGTCTCTCATCTTATTGTTCTTGTAAGCAAATGAAGAAATCTAATTCTTATTTTTGCTATAAGAGATAGAGTAAGACTTTCTTATAGTTATCTCCTCTTTATCCGAAGAAGACAATCTCGTGAAAACAACGAAGACAATCATAACATTGTCTTATCCCCCACTCCATGGTCATAGCAAAGACCATCTAACTGTTCACATACCTCCTTTAATAAGGTTGCATCCCCTTGTATTAAATTCAAGGGCAATCAAAGGGCCCTAAGTTTTTGGGTAGTATATTAATTGGTTGGTTAAGGCCCTTCATAGGGTTAATAAATACAAATCAACATTGACAATAAAAATATTTTGGATGTAATGATAGCTCAAAATAATAAAGAGACGAACTGTAAATTTAAATGTTTTAAATTTAAATTTTTAACAACCCTTTGTGATCAGATTATAAAAAAATTATCCCCTCAAGAATATCATGAATCTTGGTATGAATAATTTGTCTTTGACCGGATCATAAAGATGATTAGTCAAAATGCGTATAAACTAGTCTGATCATTCTTAATCGTTGCATTAAAAAATTAAAAAAAAAATTAAATATCTTAGTTTGGTTGATAAAATGTAGACATGAAATTTTAAGAGGAGATAGAAATGAATAAATTTTAAATAGTAATTTTTTATTTTTAGTTATATAAATTAAATTTAAAATAAAAAGAGA